GGATGGTCCGTGGGTGTGGTTTGCCAGAATTTGGGTTAGGGATTTAGGAGTATTATGGGGGTTTAATGATTCTAGGGTATTTTATGAAAAGAATGAAAACATAAGGGTTTTTTTAATAATAATAATAATTTAGCTTTTTAATATATTTTTTTAAAAAATATGAGTGACATGTGTCCGTTAACAAAATATTATAACATCCGGACACTTAAATAATAATGAGAAAACGTTAGACATCTATTTTTAGTAAAAATTATTTGGACATCAAATCATATTTCAAGATATAGTTTAAGTATTAAAAACTATATTAAGCCTTTTAAGTTGGTTATTGTTTCAATCATAGATTTAATCATGGATCAGTTAAATTTTATTTGGAAAATCAAGATCAATTAATTTTTTTAATTGCAATTCAACGATCATATTCATAGTCGTTAAATTCGCTGACATTGCATCTGAGGTTAAAACCTCCACCACTAATATGTTAAATAATTATTATTTAAATAAATAAATAACGTATATAAATTAAGACTACGTGAAATAAATGAATAAAAAATTCAACCGACTATAATTACCAAAATTATTGAACTTATCCTTAAATAATTTAATTCAACCTAATTCATAATAGGGTAAAGTACACAAATGGTACCCAATTATAAGTGTTTTTTTAAGTCCCTCAACTATTAAAAGTTACAAAATGACTGATTATTCATTATGTTTCAAACTTGTCCTTTTTCGTTAAAAAAATTAACGGCCATCTGAAATGGATGTCAATATACTGACTGAGATATGTTAGTCGTTTGAGATTATGAGATCAGATTTTATCATAACTCAGTCACAAGTTAACTTCCAGCTCTGACTATCGTTAATTTTTTTATAGAAAATGACCAGTTTGGAACATAATAAATAGTCGGCTGACCATTTTGTAACTTTAATAGTCGAGAGACTCAACAAAACAACTCCCTATAGTCAGAGGATTATTTTGTAACTTTTAATAAGCGGAACTCAAAAAGCAGCATCCTATAATCAGGGGATCATCTATGTACTTTAACCCTTCGTATAATACAATGTTTTAAAAAACCATAATCGAATCATTGAAGGTTTCCAAATGAAAAGGGACAGACAGTAAGGCACAAGTAGATTCTGCAGTAGTCAATATAGAGGAACTAATGCTATAAAATCCATATGTAATTTAGTCATTGAAACAAACAAACCGATTGTTTTCCTTTCCTATGGTGGCAAAATCAAGTGCCCTTGTTTGTGCTTGTTATCACTTGAAATATTTCTCAAACTCGGTTAGCTGCCATAACCATCTGCCCCCACAAGACCATGTTGCTTTCTTCATCTTTGGGGATTCAATATTGATCCTGGAAACAAAATTATATCGGCACCATCCTCGATTTTAAAGCCGACTTCTGGCCTTACAGCGAGACCTTCTTCGAATACCCCACCAGTAGATTTTCCGATTGCCGTTCATGCTAATTCATGATATATAACGGCGTTTTTTTGCTACAAATACCACTAATTATTATGTATATAGTGGAGTTATGTCACCCCAAACACCACTAATTGTCATGGTATATAGTGGCATTTTTCGTCTTTAAAACAACGCAATCAAAACTGATTTACAAATGTTTTTTTTCTATTTTTTACCAAAATTTATCTAATAATATCTAATAACAATCTTAAAATTTAATTGCGATCCGAATTAAATAAAAGTAATTAGTGTACATTAAACGCATTGGAAACACAAGTAAAATACTTCAAAAAAGTTGAGAGATCATTGAGGAAAGAACTTGGAATTGCAGAGACCAAGATACTGTTGCCCAGTGTCGTTTATTTCATAGGTATCGGAAGCAATGATTACTTGACCAAAACCTCAAGTATCACAGATGAAGAGTTTGTTCCATGGTGATCGGCAACCTAACTATTTCTCTCAAAGTAAGTTCTATATCTTAATTATTGATCGATTAATCCGAATTAGGTAGGTAAGGGCAAACTTCCCAACCCAATTTGCTCATAGTGCATGATATCATCATACCAACCGGTTGTTAGTATCTTTTCATTCAATTTTCTCAGCTCAAATCGCTCAACAACCTCAGGAAATATACAAGAAGGAGGAGGAAGTTTGGGTTCACTAACATGATGCCATTGGGTTGTTTCCCATTTTTCAAAGCTCAAAGTGGGGGTTCTTGCATTGATTAAGTCAATGCACTGGCAAAAGTGCACATTCAGAGTTCCCCAAAACCCTAAACAAGTTGATGAACCAGCTCGACGGGTTCAAGTATGGCTATTACGATTTCTTTGAATCCATTACTGAAAGGTCGAACAACCCTTCAAATACGGTAATGTTAGCCCAATCTTCTCTATATAAGTATATATCTCATCGGAATTTAACTAAAACAGAGACGGCATGTTAACGTGGATGATGATGATGTAAAGGTTTCAAGGAAACAACCGCATGCTGTGGCTCCGGCGAGGGCGGAGGAGCTTATAGCTGCGGAGGGAAGAGAGGGGTACCGGAGTTCGTTTTATGCATGAATCCCGATGAGTATCTGTTCTTCGACGCCTATCATTACACGGAGAAGGCTTACGAGCAATTCACGGGAGTGGAATGGAACTGCAGATATTGTGTGGCCTCACAATCTCAGAACACTGTTTCAAGCAACCGTTTCATCTGATCGTTCTTATCAGTTGGTTGTTCAAACTCTGTAGAAGAAACGGCGTCTATTTGCAAAGTCGGGTTACGGATGTAGTTCTTACCTTAAAATTGGATTAGATTTTAAGTAGGGTGAAATCTTTTTAAACTCAAATCACATTGATTATAAGTGAAACATATAATATTTCAATTGAATTCGAGTGGACCTAAAACATGATCCGACCCAGGGCCGTGGCTGGGGGGCGCAAACTGCGCGACCGCGCAGGCTCCCCCAAAGAATGGGGCCCAAAAATATATATATATAGTAGCATTTTACCAATAAACGTCACTATAGATAGACCTATTGCGACGTATTTTTTTAAAAACACCACTATTATTGCGGCTTTATTGATAAAACGTCATTATAGATGGATTTATTGCGGCTTGTCAAGAAAACGCCACTATTATAACCCTAAAATCGAATATATCTAGAAAATAGAGACCCCTTTATACGAATTTGTACAGGACCCCTGAAATCTGCCACGGCCCTGATCCGACCCAATTGATACCAATCCCTAATCTAAATTATATATTGATTTAGATTTGACGATTTAATAGTAATTATTATTTTTTTAATCTTTTGAAAGGGGTTAAATACTATGTTGTCGTATTATTTAAAAGAAAAACTTAAAAGAAAAGAAAGAAAAGGTTAAAACACGAGGAAAGGTGATTGCTGTGAGGGATGGTTATGGATTCAAATCCTACTCATATCGGATTTTTGAAAAAGAATTGGGCTTGGATCGGGTTGGATTTTTTATAAAAAAATATGTTAAGGTAGGGTCGGGTTTAGGATGAAAAATATTTGACCTGACCCGACCTCCCAAAAATATTTTTATTTTACATTATATATATATATATATATATATATATGAATAATTGTAATAATATCTCTCTATATATTATTTTTAATTAAGTATCTATTTTTTTATTAAATAAAAGTAAAATTTTTTATAAATACATTATTTTGAATATGATCGGATCAGGTCAAATTCTGATTTTATCTCAAAAAGATAGGTCGAATTCGAATCGGATGGAAGGTGTATATTTTTTAAGTCAAATTTAAATCGAGTGAAAGATATATATTTATTTAATTGAATTCGAATCAAATAGAAAACATATAACTTTTAGGTCAAATCAGATTATCACTAAACGTGACCATGCCCATCACTAAATATGAATGAGAGGTTGGGTACATTACATATCAGAATTGGTGGACAAAAAGTACATTGAGGAGATCGATCAGCTTCAACGACATGATAGGTTAACGCGCCCCCCCCCCTTCGTCCACGTGTCCCATAGCGATTGGCCATAAAATATTATTTATTACGGCCTCCTACTTTCCGTAAGTTACTAATTACGTGGTCTTGTCAGCTTCATAATTTTAAAATTAATTAATATTATTAATTGTACTTTAATTTTAGTAACTACTTTTTGTTTGCCGAAATTAAGGAAATTGAGATTTCTCAAATTTATTCAAAGAATTAGATCAAAATGAATAATTTAATATAAAATTATTTTATGCAGATACGATTTGATCTAAATTATTTTGTTAATTCAAAATTCAAAAAATATTTTACAATTGAAGAAGTATATGTTATAATAGAAAGTAGTCAATACAGGGCAAACTTATTCTGATGAGGCTTTAAAAAAGAAGAAGCTGATATAGGGTAGAAGAAAAATTATTTTTTCAAGTGGGATGAAAGTTGTAGTGAACATCGGAAGACGCCCAGAGCACACGATGTCTTTTGAAAGACGGCCGGAACACATGGCGTCTTCAGACTCTTCACCTTCGTCGTGCCTTAAATTTGAATGTGCAACAGAGAGGGAGGCAGAGAGAGGCTGCAACAATGAAAGAGAAGAAAGAGAGAGAAGGAAAAGAGAGGGAGATTAGCCATAGTTCGATCGAATCTTAAAGACGCCATATACTTTGACCGTCTTCTCAAAGACGATAACTGTTCCCGGCATTTTCCGGTGATACTGTTCAAAACGCTCTATTTGGGAAAATATTTTTTCTCCTCTCCTATATCAGCCATTCTTTCTTTTTTCAAAGCCCCATCGGAGCATTTTTGCTCAACAACAGTCACCAACTTTACTAAAGATTAGGTTTTTTTTATTAAAAAAAATCAAGTTCGAATCAAGTTAGATTTAAAAAAAATAGGTCAAATTGATAAAATTTGAAAATACTCGACTAGGCTAAAGGCACGAGCCGTTTTAACAGTTTAGTCCAGTTTCCATGTATATATGTGTGTGTAGAGATGATGATTATAGCGGACAGAAGAAAAGAAGGATAACAGAGACACAAAACAGCAAAAGACACTTCTTTCGGAGATGGGAAGAATGTACATCACTTTTTGAGAAGCTTATGTGAGAGAATCCTCTTCGAATATGGGCTGTTGCGTGATAGTGCTTTATGGGACTCGATTGATTCAACGAGCGAATTGTGCAGAGATCCCTAACATCATTGAAAGAAATGAGAAATCGGAGACATTTCCTGATATTAGTAGGAGGATTAGAGTAACATGCAAGAAAAGAGGATTTCAAACCAAACAATTTGATTCGAAAATGGGGTCTTCTAAGTTTGATTCCCAGACCAATGCATATAAATGTTATGATGAAACACACATGTTTTGAGCCATAGACACAAAGATGGTGTTGATTGAGGGATCGGAGATTTTGTAAATAATAGAAAAGTAATTGATTCTCAAACCTCGGACACACGAAGAGCAGTTTGCACAACATAGTTTGCATGTGGATCTTGAAGTAATCGTTCAAAGTGAGTTGTAGAGAGCAATTCCTGAATGATTTTCGATCGGCTCTCGCCATTTAACACCAGAAGACATTTTTCGACCACGTGACTGCTGAACTTATGTGATGAGAGGTGCACATAATGCCCTTCGAATTGAGATATCAAAGTCGAAGTGGCGGATGGAATCTTTAACTCCAAAATAAACTGAACAACATAATTTCTGCAAAATCAAAAACAAGAATCTGTGGTTAAAAGAAACACATAAAAGGGAACATATATGACAAGCTTGAATTCAGGGGCACTGGGGAATATTGATTTTGGAATAAACAAGCATCGAATAAATAAAGCAAACTTCACACGTTAAAGGGCTAACTGAGGACAAATGGTTGTTTTCGAACAAAATACGAGCACCACACCAACACGATGATATATTTCAGCATGCTTTAATGCTTGACTTCATTAACAAAATATGAGTCCATGACACAAAATGAGTCATTAATTCACTTTTTGAAACAAAGTGTTCTGGTTTACTGCACCTTTTCTGCATCACCAGTCAACCAGAAAGTCTGGCTACTCAGTAAATCGAAAATTCTTTATTGCATACACAGCTATGTTAGATTATGTAAGTTGAGTTTCCTCTGAGTGATGATTGATGCTTACCCATATGCGTCCTGTGCAAGTAGAAGCCCATTGGTGGATATTTGTTCAACCAGTTTTTCCCGATATTCCCCAGAGGAATGACTAATGCATCGTTGCAAAACACAACAGCCGTGTTGATGAGTTGCAATATCGACACAATACTTTGCAGCAGCAACAAAAATAAACTGTCAAAATGATAGGAAAAAAGGACATTGTCAATATCTTCCAAGTAATGAACCCGAGAACAAAGATGAACGAACAAAATTCAACAAGCGCACACACATCATTTTCTTAGCTAAATTGTAAATGAAACCGCCAATTTACACAAAACACCCACTAAATAAACCACAGAGATTGCTAGCAACTGCAATATCTGCAAAAGACTGCTAACAGACAGTGCAATATGTATTGACAGAAAAAATACTAGATAAACACTCCATTATTTTGCATAAAGTTACAAGCACTGATTCTTGTTCCAATCTAAACGACAATAACACCTAGAAAGGTGGAAGGCTTACCTTGTTATCTTCACTGCAAAGGCATTGCAAGCACCTCTGCACGACATGATTCCCATTCAGGTCCTTGATGAGAGATAAAAACCCAGGCTCGAGAGCTGATATAACTAGTGAAATATGCTGCCTGGTTTTGAGAGTCTCAATCAACTTCTGCACTACACGGGTGCTGAAACAAGGAAAACAATGTTAGAAATACAACCTTACATAAGAAATATACATTTACAGTGTTTCAAACATACCCGTGTGTGTTTAGAGATATTCTAACAAGCTGCCCTGGTTCCTCGGTAGCCATTAGCAAAATCTGCATCCTCTGTTCTTCATTACACACTTCCAATAACTTCTGCATAAGATAATTCCCAAAAGGGTTCATCATGAGTTCAACTACATGATCAATGATCTCCTTAAATATTATTTCAAGGTCCTCTGGGGTACCCTCATCGAATAGCCGCTGTAAGAACCTAAAACCGTGTTGATCTTTTGCTATTAAGTATATATATCCACGAGCTTCAGCCAAAGAGTTACACTTAAACGCCAAAGAGAATGAGTTACATAACTTGGCATTTCCACAAGCTGCTGCAAAGTGAGACCAATTATCAAGTTCTAACCTTCCATCTCGGCGCTTACTCACACCAATCTCCTGCAGTGAGCCCTTGTTCTGCCCCCTCGAACAATCAAGTCCCTTGTTGATTACAAAGTTGAACCATCTCCTTGAATAATGAAATTATCCTCATGTGGGATTCCAACATTCGAATGAGCTCTAGGCATCACAACGGATAATGGCGGACCCTGATTTAACATGTTTCCAACACTGGCATTACGGTTTGCTTGAACAAACGGGGGAGAACCATGGAAATTCAGCTGACCTCTTCCATCGTTCCAATTCATATTGTTTCGTTGTCCATAGATTAAACCATTATTCATAATAAGATTATGCTCCTTTTTCTGCCCTGGAGGTCTCATTGCACCATTCCAACAACTCATTCGCCATTGCGAAACCAAAGCATTGGGCAACCAATATACATTTGGGGATATTCCAGCTGGGGAAATCCAGAAAATGCCGTATTCCTCCCATCGTTGACACTCAATGGAACACTCATTGAAACAGGGGACTGGATACCCACAAAATCAGAAAACCCCTTCCTGGGTTCATCACAAGCCCCATGTTTTTTAATTCCATTGGATTCAAGTGAAAAATCACTAAAACTAGAAACGAAATTCTCTTGATCATCATTAATATAAATTTTACTAAGATTTCTACAAAGACCCAGTTCACCAAACAAGCTGTCACTACTAGCCTTTTGCCTAATAGTTGAATCCATGGACAGTCCATTAGACAAGTGTGGCTTAAGGTCCTCTAATGGCGGTGGAGGTGGTGATCCATTAGACAAATTCGAAGAACCATCTGACAGTAAAGAGAAACCGCTCACAGGGGAAACACGTGTATGGTTATGGAAATAGCTTGATGGGTCGTCATTATACATAAGACCATACATGACATTAAATGACTCATTTTGACGATGATGATGATGATGTGATGTTGCATGAGGGATCTCATCTAATAACATATCAAACTCATCATCATCCTTCATGTTCCCTCCCTTCTTCTTCTCGGCGGCAGATTCCAACATCACAGAAAGACAAAAAGAAAAACAAATAGAACCAGAAACCAAACCGAAACAAATAGAAAAAAACAAGAACAAGAAACAATCAAAAGAAGCACATCAGAAGTAAAACAACAAATACCCAGAACAGAATACCGCTTTTTATCATCTGGGTTTTGCTCAGATTCTGAAACCAAAAAGACAAAAAAAAAGAACAATCTTTTCGCTTTTTACTTTTCTTTTTCCAAATGGCATTTCACTGATAAGGAAATAAATTCATTTTTCTTGGTTTTGGGATTTCTTTTGTTTGCGAAGAGTTTGGTGTAGGAGTGTATTCAGTTTGGTTTGGTTCGATTTTTTATTAAAAATTGAACCGAATCGAAATAAATTGATTTTTAATATTTAAACCGAAACCGAAATTGAATAGTTAAAAAATCAAAAAAAATTAAACCGGTTTTTTTGGTTCGATTCGGTTTTTTTAACGGTTCGAGTTTTTCAGTTCGATTCGATTTATCGGTTTTTCAATAAAAAAATCACTTGAAACTATAATTATTTTTACAAAAATTACCTATTCGGTTCAATATGGAACAAATGGGTTCCATATGAAAAACTCGAACCAAACCGAATCAAAAAAATGAAATATTTAAACCGAATTGAAAACCGAATCATTTAAAGTTAAACCGAACTTAACCGAACTATTTTACTCGATTCGTATCGATTTTTCAATTTTCTCAATTTCGTTACTATAGTTTGGTTGAGCATGCAAAGATTGAAGGGATCACAGACGGTTACTTTACTCATAATGCTAAAATTTACCGTTTTGACCCATAATTATTTACTTTTTATTTTTTTTATTTTAATTCCCAATCTTTTATTTTAAATTAAAATAATCTTTTTAATATACAAATTATTATTTGATTAATAATCAACATTCTTTTAAATAAACAAATAATATTAATAAAAAATTATTGAATTATTTAAAAAAAAGTGCATTAAAATATTTTATTCCAACATAGTAAAGGTGAAATACAAATACAATGGACCATAAAAATTAGGGTGTGCATGGTCGGTTAACCATACCATTAAGTTTAAATGATATGTTAATCGATATGACGGTTATTAAATTTTGTTAATTATAACTTATTCATTAAAAAACGGTTAATCATTATTAACAGTTCGGTTATAGGGTAACATATGGTTAACTTATTACAATATTTTTCAAATATAACACAACTTAAAATTTTTAAAATTTCATAAAATTTAAGACGATAGAATGATATATATGTGTAAAAATCTTTTTTATTTGTAAATGTATTTTATTTTATAGAAATATATATTATGATGTATATTCAATTTTACCGTTAAAAATACGTGTATATTTATATTTTATAATTTAAAATCATATATTTCTTCCATATATATTTGACTTGATGTGCTAAAACATAGGATGAATAATTTTGATTTTATTTCTAATTATATTCTCTAAAATATATAATTAATTAATTATAGTTTATTAATGGTTAACCGATGGTTAACCATTTATCAAAATTCATTAATCGTAACTGTAACAGTTAATTAATATTTTTAACGGTTCAGTTAACCAAAACCGTTAAACTTTAATGATTCAATTAATTAACCTATAAAATATAACGATTATATTAGTTAACGGTTACCGTTAACGATAACGGATTAGTTTTAACACTCCTAATAACAACAACATATTGCGCACACACTTGGAACTGCACACGATTCAGACAAAAGCAATAACAATTTACAGCATTTCATATTAATGTCACACAATCGGAGTGCAAAGAACGTCGGTTAACAGGTTATCCAAGTTCCGGGAAGAAGAACCGTCGTGATCGAAAGCCTCCTTCGCTCTCTTCTTCAATTCGATGGCCTTTGCTTTCATTTCGATACCCTTTTCTCCCACTATTAACTCCCTAGCAAGCATCTCCACTTGATCCCTCTTTACATCTTCATCGATCTCCATGCAGATGCCGAGCTTCGTGCAAGCCAACCAAGTGTTCGTTTGCTGGTCTGCGAAGTTCGGCAAACAAAGCATCGGCACACGGGCAGAAATACTCTCGATCGTGGAATTCCATCCCATGTGAGATAAGAACCCTCCTACCGATGGGCGTTTAAGCACTTCATCTTGTCGACACCAGCTCGCTAATAGCCCTCTACCTTTGGTTCCGGTGATGAATTCGGGCGGTAAAATCGTCGCCTCACCCTCAACGAGATCGGGCTTAATGATCCACAAAAACGGCTGCATGCTACTAGCTAGACCCCAAGAAACTTCGATCAAGTGTTGAGGACTCGTTACTGCCGTACTTCCGAAATTGACGTAGATTACCGATTCGAGTTCTTTAGAATCGAGCCACTTGATACATTCAGACTGTTCAACCCACAAATTAGAACGATGTGTTTCAGTCTATAGTCTTCGATCTGATCAGCGAGTAAGTGAAGAGGACCAATGCTGTAAACGGGAATAGGATCGAGGATCGACAACATAGTATCCAGAGCGTTTTGTTCCAACGACTCTAATGTATTGGAAATCAGAGCCGAAATCCCAGCGTCTTGTTCCAACGATCTAAATCGAAGAAATTATTTACAAATGCAATGATAGGACATGAATAGGGATGAGCATGGGACGGGTTGGGTCGGGTTTCCGATCAACTCAACTTTACCCGAAAATTATACATCTTCTACTTGACTCGACTCGACCCGTAAAATATACACTCTCTACCCGATCCGACCTTTTGAGATAAAATCCGAACCTGACATGAAATAATATATTTATTAAAAAAATATAATATTTATTCAATAAAAATGAGGATTTAATTGAAAAAGATAATATATAAAGGGGTACTATTGTAATTATCCCTAAATATATAAGATAAAAATATTTTTCAGGTCGGGTCAGGTCGGGTATATTTCGCCATAAACCTGATCCCGACCGAAATATAACCACTAAAAAACCAAATCCAACCCGACCCGACCCAAATCCGAAATTTTTAAAGAAAATCTAACCCGATTGGATCGGGTCAGGGTAGAGTTCCATGCTATCCCTAGATATGATGTTATTAGAATATTAATCACGAATCTCAAATATAAATTATAAAATCTGAACGAATCATTTATAAAATTGATATTAATAATATTCTAATCATTGTTCTTAAGGCAAAAATATTTTTACCAAAAAAACAACACTCTTTGTAGTGTACAAAGCTCCTTCAACAGCAGTTGATTGCTTCAATGGCGATCCAGTATACAGAGACAGCTATAGTTTAAATTCCCTTTCGTAAACTGGAAACTCTTCGGAAGCTGAAAGCAGAGGCTTCTGTATACATTCAAAACAAAACTCAGTATCAATCATGTTTTTTCCATCGAGTTAAATTGATATTTTATTTAAAACTCGATTATCAAACAATTTTACGTAGGATTCACTGTGTTATATACCTGTGTGAGGTCGGGGCCAAACAATTTGCTTAATATTCTTGAACCACCCAAGCATCCTTGTTGGTTAGCTTGCTCAATTCGATCCTCCATTTCCTCAAGTAGTTCTCCATATGTTATATTTCGTTGTCCTCTTCCTCTCACGACTTCTATTAAAACGAATGTCATTGCTCCATTCATCGTCTTCGAATTCATACCGTACACGTATGTATAAGATTAATATTCGATACATTGACGGATCGTTATCTCGTGTTTCGTAACTCAACTTACCGATGTGTCCGCGGCTACATGGTCATTATCGCAAGCACTGATAGAATATGCTAACCCACCACTAGTTTTTTCCTCACACCTGATGGGGGACTGTTGTCAATCCACTCTCCCCTGTTTAAAATCCGGATTAATATAAGTATCGTGTATAGATAAATTGATTCGGGTTTTGATCCGGTTACGAGTTCATTCGATGTCAAGGGTTTCGTATACTTACGTTTTTTTATTGTAGACGTGCTTGAGATCGAGAATGGTTCCGCTATAACAAGCATCGACAATGGCGTGAAGCGTGACACCTTTCGGCAGTGGCTTAACAATGGTGGCGTAAATGTCGTTATCGAGTATCATTCATTCTTTAAGGAAATCGACCGGGCAGATGGTTTCGTCGAATCCGTCAAGTTCGTCTTGGTTGAAATCGGGTTGGCGTAATCCATGGCCGGAGTAATAGAAAACCAGCGAGTCTCCCGACCGGGTACCTTCCACCAGCCACCTCAAGCAGTTCTCAATGTTCGCCTTCGTCGGAATAAGTCGAGCGTCTAACTGTTCCTCTACTGTGAAATAAGTCGGAATCATTATACCGATATCAATCGAATTAAGACTTGTTCGTACTTAACCGAAACAACTTACGTGTGAGCACTACAATATTTTGCTCTT